AAACTTTTTTCAATATAGATGGTAGTATCTAAGGCGTGTGTGTGTGTGTGTGTGTGTGTGTGTGTGTGTGTGTGTGTGTGTGTGCGCGCGCGTGCGCGTGTGCGTGCATTGTTTTCACACTGCTAAGTCGGGGCACAAACCATTAGGATAGAAAAATGACGGACCACAAGATTGCAAGCAGTTGTTCAAAAGTGACACTAAAAAAAAATATCGACAAATTATGAGTGTCTCTATATTTTTCTACAGACAGATTTAGGTCCTCTGTAACGTCAGCTGTTGCAGGAATTTCTCAGTTATATTAACAAGCTCACTATATGTTTACAGGGTCCAAGTCATCTGCTGCACATTTTCCCCCATTTGCTACATTTGTAGCCACATTTGCTTTGACTTTTGAAACCTTACTCTGTATTGTATTTTGTTGGTTTTACTGCAAGTATATCTATTGAGGACTAAGACTTATGCCTCAGTTTGGAAGAAAAAAATATAAGTGAATCAGAGTTTCAGACTAATTGGAGCTGAATGTTAAAGGAGTTTAATTAGTTAATTGACTGTTTTTTCTATGTGTTACAGAGAGTTAAGTGAGTATGTTCTCCTCTGTGTCAGAAAATATCCTGTGATGAACAGAATAGGTGAACACCTGTGAGACTTTTAACCAGTCAGCCTTTATAGGTCTGTGTCATGCGAATAGAAGCACTTTGTAAGTTTTCATTTCGTATCCTTTGACTTCCTGCTCCGAGGCTTTTTCCTGAGCTGCTTGGGATCCGCAGGTGGCTGTTGTTTTACTCTGAGTAGGAGAATTTTGGGTTCATACTTATACAATAAACAATAAATAAATAAAAGTCAGTATTTCTGTTTCCTATTAATTAAGGAAAAGCCAAGGTGCATTATAACAGTGAGTATAAATCAGGACATTAAGTACCACAGTGCACAAATGATTGTTGTCTTGTGTTTATTGAACAGGCTGTGCCCACGTTTGATGTGTTATATTATGTGACAAGATGAAATTAAAAGTATACTGAGTGAACCAAGACGCGCTGCTGGGTCTGAATTTAATAACCATGCATCCTTCTACTACAGTTAAACAGATTCTTCTTTAATAACGATATGTTGCATGATATTATTTCTTGTTCCATGTTGCATATCTCATTAAAGCTAACCTGTGGTCTTGTCAACCCTTTTTTTTTTTTTTTTTTTTAAATCAGTGCTCACAGACACTATCTATTATGGTAAAGTACCCACGGCCTTTCTGTGTGTGCATGTGTGTTACAATCACTGTAGCATTTGTCCTTTCATTGAGCCTTATCCACTCAGACAGCTGGAACCCAGCAGTGTACACACTGAAAGACACAAAATGTGTGCTGGCAGACACATTGTCAACATACAGCCCTGCGGTCAGAAAAGCACACAAATAGAAATAGAAATACAGAGACCTAGAGGAAAACAAACAAGCTGTCAGATATATATTGTTCATATCGATGCACATTATCTACAGGAAGATTTTCATACTAATCATCCATCCATTTTCTTCCACATATCTAATTCAGGGTGTATAAAAGGCCCCAAAGTTCATAGAATAGTTTTATTGGTGTTTACATAAGTTCATTTAAGGACACGACTAAGCTGTTCAAGTATCAAGTGTTGGTTGATCACCTGCACCTAGAGGAGGCCAGATTAATAGCCGATGCTTACCTCAACTCTACCACACCCTTCACTGATACTATGGAGGCCTTCAATGATAAATTGACAATGACAACCTGACATCAGGTGTGGAGACGTCTCGGCATTTGAGAGATTTGCCCTCCAGATACAGTCACTAGTAGGGATGTTAAGGACACTAGGCCCAGAAGGAGAAGTGGAACTACACTGTGGTTCACATGTTGCTCGTCTGCTTAGTAAACTACCCCCCAAGCAGAGAGCAGAGTTCTGCCGCTGCATGTTCCAACAAGGTGTGAGGATGCATACCTTGGCAGATCTCGCAGGGTGGCTTAAGTATGAGTCCTGGTGCCAAGACTCTGAAGGGCAGCTAGCAGTGAAAGGGACAAAGGAGAAACAGTGACCCAGGCCTGAGATGCGCCAGAGTTTAAGAGATCCATCACAGTCCTTCATGGTGCAAAGGAGGTAACGACAAAGCCACAGGCTGTGAGGCCAGGTGGTGTGGCCAGTAAGAACAAGCCATACTGTCCATTCTGAAACACGGAAGAGCACTATCTCAGTCAGTGCACAGTGGTATCCAAGTTGACAAAGGACCAACTAACAGAGTGGATAAAGAGTAACAAGAGATGCGGGCGCTGCGCACGGTCACACCAGGCGGCCCAGTGCAATCTGAGAAAGACGTGCAGCCTCTGCCAAGGGAAGTACCTGCAAGGTACTGCATGATGTCAATGTTAGAACACCTAAAAGGGTCACCAACAACAGCGGTGGTGAGTTGTGACTCGAAGGCGGCGACCGACGTCCTGTATCTAGACAGACCCACTGAAGGCTGCAGAGTCCTTCTAAAGATCGTCAAAGCCTGCATTCATTATGGCAAGCGAACAATCAACACTTACGCCGTATTGGATGACGGGTCAGAGAGGACAATGCTTCTGCCAGAGGCTGCCGAGAAGTTAGGCATGCAAGGGATCGCAGAGGACGTCCCACTGCGCACGATTAGGCAGGACGTGCAGACTCTCAGAGGTGAGTCAGTGTCGTTCTCTGTTTCCTCTCCCTCAAGGCCCAGGACCAGGTTCAAGATTGCTGGGGCCTTCACTGCTGCACGCATCGGACTTGCAGGCCACACTTATCCCATGGAGCAACTCAGAGAAAGGTATAAGCACCTGATTGGCCTTCCGATCCACACCTTGATAAATGTGAAACCTTTGGGGATGGTCACTGGCAGTGACCATCCCCATCTGGTTACCCCCGTTGAACCAGTCAGGCTGGGACCTCCAGGAGGGCCTGCTGCTATTCGTACCAGGCTAGGCGCTACAAGGGCCAGCAAGTATAGCCGGCCAGCTTGCCCAACCGCAGCAATGCTTACTGACAACTGTGGCACCTCAGGTCAGTGAGTTAATGAAACATGTGGAGAAACTATGGCAGGTTGACATCGTTCCATTCCGAAACGAGAAGCTTGTTACTCGTTCAAGGCAAGACCAAGAGGCCATACGCATTCTAGACACCAGAACTGTCCAAATAGAGGTTGAAGGCATACTCCGCTATGCCCCCCCACTGCTTCGCCGGAATGGGATGCCTCTACCGCAGGCTACTAAAGACGCCGTCATGTCACGTCTACGAGGTGTGGAGAGAAGGCTGGCCAAAGACCCAGAAAGAGCTGAGGCCTACAAGGTGGAGATGGAGAAGTTCATCAAGACTGGCTCCATCATTAAGTGTGGCTCTGGGACACCTGTGACAGAAGGTCAGGAGGCGTGGTACATCCCTCATCACATGGTGAGCCATCCTTAGGTGCGTCGCTTCTGGGAGTTCTATTACGCTTCCGAGAGCATGCAGTTGCAGTGAGTGGGGACATTAAAGGCATGTTTCACCAGGTTCGTCTCTTACCAGAAGATCGTGCCCTGCTCAGATTTGTCTGGCGAGACATCGGCGACAAGAGCCCTCCAGCAGCCTACGAGTGGCGGGTGCTCCCGTTCGGAACCACGTGTAGCCACTGCTGTGCCACATTCGCCCTGCAGCGTCATGTCATGGATAACAGCCAGCCAGATGATGACGTGAGACTCTCAGTCGAAAGGTGTTTTTATGTGGACAACTGCCTTCAGAGTTTCCCCACCGTGGAAGAGGCAAGGAACCTTGTCGACAAGTTACGGGCCATCCTAGCCTCAGCAGGATTTGACCTACGACAGTGGGCCAGCAATAAACGTGACGTCATCAGTCATTTACCAGAAGAGAGCTGCTCTGCTAGTGTGGAGCTATGGCTGGCCCAGAACAAGGTAGATACCCCAGAATCTACCCTTGAATTGAGCTGGCTATTCCACACAGATGTCCTAGGCTACAAGCATCGTCAAGTTCCATATGCAGTCCCCACGATGCGCAATATCTACAAGGTCCTGGCCAGCCAGTACGACCCCCTAGGGTTCATCTTACCCTACACAACCAGAGTGAAGGTAATCATCCGCCATCTTTGGGACAAGAAAAGGGGTTGGGATGACCCACACCTACCTCAGGAGCTTATGCAGCAGTGGACAGCCTGGGAGGAAGAGGCATTACCGAGAGTTGAAAAACTGTCTAAAGTCTTTCATCTTTAATAAAATGATCAGCCTTCTGCTCTACCGGGTGTAACAATTGAGTTTAACATCCAGGCATCCATGAAAACGGAATTTATGACATTTAACGGAGTTAGAAGTTAGCAGGAAGTTAGCTCGCTAGCTTCTATCTAAATACAATATAGCATATCCTGACTGCAGGGTTTTGGAAACAAATTAAAACGTACAGCTCTGTAATCACTTCCAACATAAATGAAGACAGAAAACTAAACAGCAGTGACATTTGTAGGGTTACTGAAGTTTGGCTAGCTGGTATATAATGATGTGCTATGTGACCGCTAGCGACACAGCTATGTTAGCATAATATAAACAAGCTAACTTTTTTCCACTCGATAAAAGTTAACGTGAGTGTTCTCGGTGGTCAGGAACAAATGTAATCGCATAGCAGGATGCTGTAAAAGGACCAAACTTAAATAAATAGAAGAAAATACAAAACATTAAACATGTTAACAACACAAAAGCCATATTAAACGCAGACTACTTTAGGCCCGGAAGTAGGATTCGTAACGTCATCACTTAAAGACCGGA